ATTATAGAAAGAAGATTAATATAAGATAAATTGGAATCAACAAAAAAATCAAAGATAGTACAAAGGGAATTACAGAAGTAAGAGCAGAAAACTTTACAGGCAATGAAAAAGAATTTTATATACAGATAAGTGAAGAATATAGAGACCAAATAGCTACAATGAGAAAAACACTACACAAAGGCTTATAATAGTCAAGATTCCAGAAATTTAATACAAGAATGGAACATTTAAAGCTGCTAGGCAAAACAAACCCACATTTTTCAGCACAAACCCTTAAGTCAAGAAAGCTTAAAGGGAAATATTTTAAGCTTTAAAAGCACACTTCCAATCCAGATTTGTGTACTCCACAAAATTATCTTTCAAAATTGATGAAAAATGAGACACTTCCACAATAAAGAACACCAGAAGAAATTCATGACCATCAAACCAGCATTCCAAAAGTTCTGAAGGATATTCTAGAAAAAGACAACAATTCCAAGAATCCCAATAGAATTATTGCAAGAAATTAAATAGAAGGGAGAGATAATGGCAAGGATAATAATAGGCAAGGATAAGTCTATACCCATCAGTTATAACCATCAATGAAAATGGCCTCAATTTACCAATTAAAAGAAATAAGGTTTAACAGTGTGCATCATACAAGAAACACATTTAACTCAAAAAGAAATTCATAGACTGAAAAGGTGCAAAAAATGGGAAGCAGTATATTTCATGTAATAGAAACCCAGAATGGGGGAAACAAGGGTAACTACTCTATTAGCAGTCAAAGTGGATTTCAAATACCAGCTCACCCAACTATGTAAAGCAAACAGATAAAAAATCAGACAAAGACTAATAGAGTTGTCATGGGGAACACCAATATTCCACTGTCACAGACAATCAACTAGAGAAAAAAAATGAACAAAGAAATATCAGAACTGAACTGAAACTTTGAGTAGATAGATATCTACAGTATTCCACCCAACAACAGAATACATATTATCCTGAGCAGCACATGGGACTTTCTCCAAAATAGACCACATACTAGCTACATACTAGCTCATAGAATGTGCTTATTAAATGCAAGGAGTTGAAATGACCCCACTTAATCAATGACAAAGGAAACCACAAAACTACATAAACACATGGAAATTAAACAATACCTTCTGGAACAACCAGAGGGTTGCAAATGAAATTAAAGAAGAAATTAGACAATTTCTGCTATTAAATGATAATGCTGATATCACATAGCAGAACTTATGGGCTATATATAATGAAGACAGTCTTAGGAGGGAAATTTATACCAGTAAATTCTCACATCAGAAAATCAGCACAAACTCCAATAAATAGCCTAGTGTAGAACTTCAAGTTTTTAGAAAAGGAAGAATAAGTTAAACCCAAAACATGTATGAGGGAGTAAATTATAAAAATCAGAGCAGAAATGATTGCAATTGATACTAAGAAAATAATACAGAGAATCATTGAAGCAAAGAGTTGGTTCCTGTACAGATTAAATAAAATAAATAAGCCGTTACCCAACCTAATCAAAACAAGGCTGGGTGGGGGGATATCCAAATCTATGGAATCAGGAATGGAAAAGGCAAAATTACAACAAATCCTGTAGAAATTCAGGTTAACATTATTTACTTTGAGAACATGTGCTCTAATAAGAGAACAGTCAGGAGAAATGGACAGATTCCTAAATACACATGAATTGCCAAAGCTGAATCAAGAAGATAAAAATCTCTAAATAGACCATTATCAGTCAGTGAAACTAAAGAAGTAATGAAAAAAACTACCAGCAAAGAAAAACTCAGGTTTGCTGATTTCTCTAAAAACTCTAAAACCACTAATCTAAAACCAGTAGTCCTCAAAAACCCTAGTGGATCTAAAACCACAAATCCTCAAGGACCCTAATAGAAATAGAAAGGGAAGCAATGTTACCCAACATTCCTGAAATCAAGCATTACCATGATACCAAAATCAGAAAAGTATCCAACCAACCAAAAAACAAACAAACAAACAAACAAAAAAACAAACTACAACAACAACAAAATCCTCCCAAAGCAACAACAACACAAAACCAACTACATGCCAATCTCCTTAATGAACAGAGTTGCAAAAATTCTCTATAATATACTGGAAAACAGAATGCCATGAATCATCAAAAAGATTATACACCATGACCAAGTAGGATTCATCCCAGATATGGTTCACTGCAGATATGGCTCAACATATGCAACAGAACCAAAGACAAAACCAGAAGATTATCTCAATAAATGCAGAAAAACCAAGTGTAACTTTCATTTATGATAAAAAAATTCTAAAAAAAGTGGACTAGAAGGTCATCTTAATCTTACAAAAATTATGACAGACCTACAGCCAGCATCATTCTAAATGGTCAAAAAAAGTTTTCTCTGTAAAATAAGGAATAAGTCAAGTGTTTACTATCACCACTCCTGTTGAATATACTTCTGAAAATATTTGCCTGAGCAATTAGATAAAAGAAAGAAATAAAATAAATATGGATAAGAAAGAAGTTAAATTATCATTATTTGCCAGTGATATGATATTCTATGTAGAAAACCCCCAAATCTACAACAAAACAGTACTGGAATTAGTAATATATCCAGTAGCCTAACAGGATACAAAGTTGACACTCAAAATCAATAGTATTTCTGTAGACAAATAACTCACTGAAAGAGAAATAAGGGAAATAACGTCTTTCACAGTAGCATCAAGAAAAAAGGCATATATAGGAATCAATATAACAAAGAAACTGACAAACCTTTACATTGAAAATTATAGTACTCTGGTAAAGGACAGCAGAGAGGATATCAGAAAATGGAAAGATAGACTCTGTTCTTGTATAGTGAACCAGTACAGTGAAAATGGCCATGTTCCCAAAATTGTTACACAGATTTAATACAATCCTGATAAAAACATCTACATTCAATATCAGTACCACATCTCTCACAACCAAAAAAGCAGTTGTAAAATTCATATAGTACCAGAAGGCACCGGGAATAGCAAAGGTAATTCTGGAAAATAAGGGCAAGACACCATGAGCAGGGACATCACAATCCTTGATTTGAAGTTGTACTACAAAACTACCACAATAAAAACAGCATGGTACTTCTGTCCCCCAAAAAAACAAAAATAAGCAAATAAATAAAAACAGACTTGAGGATCAATGGACCAGAATAGAAAATACAGAAACAACTCAAAGTGCACATACTCACCCTCCTTATCTTTAACAAAGAGGCTAAATACCTTCATGGGAACAAAGGTACTTTCTTTAACAAACTGGCTTTCCACATGACAAAAGTAGAAACTAGATCCATATTTCTAACAGTGCACTAAACTAAAATCAAAGTGGATCAAAGCTCTAAATGTAAAAACAAATAGTCTGCTGGAAGATAGACTAGATAAAACTCTAAAAGACATAGGTGTAGGCAAAGATATTGTGAACTCTGATCACAAATGTTATACTACAAAGAGTAAAAAACTTGGCTGACATCAAATTAAAAAGCTTTTACGCAACAAAGGAAATCACCAACAGTGTGTATAGACAAACCAAAGAATGGAAAAAAAAACTTTTACCACCTACCTCTTAGACAAAGGATTAATGTCTAGAATATATAAAGAGCTCAAAACTACCAGACCCTCCAAATTTACAGATCTAATCCAAAAATATACATCTGAAATGACCAAATACTTCTCAGATCAAGAAGTACAATCATCAAGTAAATATATGAAAAACATGTTCAAAATCTCTAGTCATCCAGAAATGCAAATTATCCAGGTATGGTGACATAGGCCTATAATTCCAATACTCCACGGGATGAGGCAGGAAGATTGTTGAGAGTTAGAGGCCAGCCTGAACTGCAGAGTGAAATCCTGTGTCAAAAAGACACGCATGCGCGTACACACACACACACACACACACACACACACACACACACACTGAAAGAAAATGCAAATTGAAACAATGCTGAGATTTCATCTCACTCCCGAAAGAATGTCTGTCATCAAGAAATCAACCACCAACAAATACTGGTAAAACTGTGGGGAAAAATGAACCCTCTTCCATTGCTGGTGAGAATGTAAACTGATAAAACCATTATAGAAATCAGTGTGGAGATGCCTCAATAAACTAAATCTAGAGATTCTATCTGACACAGCTGTCTTATCTTTCCAAGAAAATTAAAAACATGTCATGGTGATGTACGAATACCCATGTTTAATGAAGAACAGTTTACAATAGAAAACTCATATGCCCATCAATAGATAAATGGATAAAGAAAATGTGGTATTTATATACAATACAGTATTACTGTGCCATAAAGAAGATAAACCTGGGTCACTTTTAGGCAAATAGTTGTACCTCAAGATCATAAATTTAAGTAAAATAAATCAGACACACATGCTTAAATATCACATCATTTCTCCTGTGTTAGAAGCCCAAAGAGTAAATAAGGAGAAAATGATGGTAGATATTGGGAAGTAGGAAGAACATGTTCCAATGGGAAGGGGAAGAAAGGAGTGGGAAGAGAAAAAGGAAGAAAAGGAAAGGTAATTTATAAAAGAGAATGGAAGGAAAAATGCTTTTGTTAAAAAAAAGAATTAAGATATATTATGTATTAAGTATAATTTCCCTATGATGAATGCGATCCTGATGTACAACACATATGTACTTATAAAAAATGAAAAAAAATTACCTGGTATAGAACAAAATCCAAAATGTGTTATAGATTATGGAAATATCTACACACCAACCTATGAAGCATCTAAGAAAGTAACCACCAGTGAATCATCTACTCCATGGGGAGTATGAATATCTGATGACACAGCAACTCAGTGCAGTTTTGTTCTTCAGGGAAATTCTATTGCTCCATAAGAAACAATGAATAGCCATAACCTAAGAAATTGGGTGAAATAGAAGAAAAGGGATAAATCAAAATAAATACAAAGGGAATTTAATGTATAAAGAGTTAACTGACTCTCCTACCATTTTATAGGCTTTGTATCATGGACCAAATTTGAAAGCAGTTATAGCCATGTATCTGGGACTAATCTATCGTGTTAAATATCGACTCGGGCTTTGGAAAACAAGACAAATTATAAACCTTGCAGAACTAGAGGAGTGGATGGACAGAAAAAAGTGTAAGTGATTTGCGCTTTAAATTTGGAACTAATTATGACAAAGGAACTATACTATATTTATGTAAGCTATTTTCATTTTAAAATGATATATATTGCCATTAATTTATTAGGATCCTGTCTTCATAAGCTCTAAGAGCCTCATTTTGCCTAAATAAAGCACAGAAATAAACAGTGGAGAATATTGGTAAGATAGCTAAGGAATAGATAGAAAAAATATGAACCACAGTGCTGCAGACATCTAGGGAACTGGAAACAAGGAACATTATTTGCCTCTGGAGGGTATGTTAGTACCTATGATATAAAGACATTGGTTGCTGTGCTTTAAGTCATATTCCAGGAGACCTTGCCTGATTGGTTTAGACTGAGTCATATGTCTAGTACTTTTCAGTGGGAAATTCAGGAACCTTGAAAGTTGCAAAGGCTCTATACATTGAAGAAAGGATGACACTGAAAATGAAAAATTAAAACATTGAAATATAAAAATAGTTAATTGGCACTGAGCAGAAAAATCCACCTATCAATTTGATTTTGAGATTTCTTCCATGGAATAAGGTCCCAAGTTTGTATCAGAGATCCTTAATTTAGAATTTAGAATTTAGAATCTTTAGTGAATCAACTGTTATTTAGGATGAGGATAGATGATTAAACCCAGATTTTTGAGCAAAAAATATGCAAGTAAATTATATTTAATTGGAAACATCATTGCTTTATAAAACCATCATGGCTTTATAAAATTTTTCTTGGACTGTGCTGATTATAAAATGTTTCGCATTTTGAACTATGAGTTGCATGAAGACAGTTACTATGTTCATCAACAAATACCTACTCTAGTTAAAAACATAGCTTTCATTGAGTTTATCAGTTATGATAAACTATCTTTTAACAAATAAAATATCCAGAACTTCCTGTGCTGAAATGATTCCTTTTCTCTAGAGATTGAGAAAGAAGTGTTTGTGTGTGTTTGCGCGCACACGCGTGTGTGTAAGAGAGAGACGGTTGGTTTCTTGCTAAGCAGCTTTCTGCATAAAATTTATAAAAAAAGGAGAGTGATCCAGGTGAATAGGTGGAGGAAGAATGTTCTAGGCAGATGGAGAAGTAAGTACCAGGACTTTAGCTGGAGGCTGCTAGTGTTGAGGAAGCAAGGAGATGGATGTTACTGAAATTGTGAGAGAGAACAGACAAAGTACGGCTGGAGAAGTAGTGTGGAGCTCCAGTTGTGTCAGCTTTTGTAGATTGTTGTATTTTACCTTAAGAAAGCTGGGAAGCCATTGGAACATTGTGAACAAGGATTTATCGTAGGACTTATGTGGAACTTCTTTGATACTTCCTCTGAGAATAGTCTGACATAAGGCAAGAAACAGAAAAAAAATGAACTTCAGTTACGACACATGGTGCTCTGTTTAATGTAGGATCTGAACAGTAAAGAAATCTATGTGAATAAAGAATTCTCAAACAAAGCATCCACTTATAATAACAATTTAATTACCCTAATGTTCATTGCCTTTGTAATTTCTTATTTATCTTCATGTGCTTAAGTAAATTCACCTTTCTTTTTGTCTATTGATTACTAATTGGGTGATATGTTGAAAGAGATCTGTGCATATTTTTAAGCATATTTCAATCATTCAAAAATTTCATCAACTTTAATGATGTATGTTTTATATTTACTCCAATTGCACCAGCCTAGTTTGTAAGTTGTGCTTGTTTATTTTACTGCAAGTTTGCTTTTAAGGCATAATATGCAGTTTAGGGGCTCTGTTACCTATTAATATAGTCAACAAAGTTATAATGCTGTGTCCATCAATCTGGTCTTATGAAGAACATTTAAAACTGGCTGATTCCAGGAAAGCTGACAGAAACATGCATTTTTTTGAATAATAAATATATTTAACCACTTTAAAAAAGAAAAAGTAACATTCTTTTATCTTAGCTTGTTTTTTTTAGAATCAGATCCAGATACAGGAATTCAAGTACAACTAACTTATTTGGGAATTGTATGTCGGAAAATACTGTTAGTGAAATACAGAAGGAAGGCAGGGATGGGAGAGAGAGAGCTCAGCGAAACAGTCGGGCTTGCTTCCCTCCAGTGTGAGGTGTTCATCCTCCAACTCTCTCTTGTCTGGCCCTTGGCCACTTTAGTGGAGTGGGGGACTTGATTTCCTGCTCTGTCTGGCTTGCTGCACAGGTGGGCAGAGTGGAGCCATGTGCCAGAATGAGCCCTTAGGCAATGACATGCAGATGCTGGCACTTACAGATTATTTCAAAAGGCACAGAAGTGTAAGGGACAATGAGACATGAATTAGGGCACCAAAAACAATGGATTTGGTTTGTGTTGATGTCTCATTACTATCGCCTTCAACTGAATGAAAGAGTGAATGAATAGAAAATTGCAATCCATACGATCCAGTGCTTGAATGATAAAACTTCTGTTCAAATCCACACAGCTGCCTCTTGCTACTGGGAACCTCTATTTCAAAGCTAAATCTGTACTTTGACATACTTAAACAGTCCCTTTTATCCTATTTTGCGGAATAATAATCAGTTCCATGAGGTTAATCCAGTATGTTTCTAAAACTATACCTACAAATTGTATGTGGCAATGCTCTTGAGATGAGACATAGATGACAGATATCCTACCTATGTGATTTTTGCATGGTAGTTTTCACCCAGGGGTGCCAAAGCACCTTAAACAAGGAAGTAAGATCAAACTAAATCAGTGAGCAAAATGTAGACATGGCTTCAACTTAGTGAACAAATAGGACACTGAATAAGCAGTCCAAAGAAATCCACCATGTGATTCAGTTATCCCACTTTTAGGTAGAAATTCCTAGGAAATGGTTGGCATGCCAAAGAGACACCTGCATAGCTGTGTTTTCTGCGGCATTGTTCACAATAGCTACCATACAGAATCACTATCTGACTGAATACAGAAAATACTAAGTTAGTATTCAGCCCAAAAGAAAATGAGTTCTTATCCTTTGCAGCAAGATGGAGATGGAACTGGAAGATATTATGCTAAGTTATATGAGCCAGACACAGAAACACATGTTTTATCTTAATTATGGAATTAAAAAAACAGAAGTCAACCAGAAAACTGGAACAGCAACTACCAGTTTGGGAAGCAGATTTGGACAGTAGACAAAGGGAGGTTGGATTTGACCAGTGCATACTGTGTACATGTACTGAAATATCACACGGAACCCCCATTAATATGTACAATGACTACTACTTAGTCAAAAATAAAATTGAAAAGCTATGTCTTGTGATAGGGTGTGAGCACTGGTATATGTAATCTGTGATCAACAGCCATGCAGCAAGGTGGAGGAACCTGGTGTTCTCGTGAGGAAATCCAGTCTGTGTCCCTGCAGTGGATGGAGGGAGGAGGGAAGAGCAGTGCTGTCTAGCTTTTGCCAGTAGGAGACTTGGCACACCTCACTCGCAGAGGCTTTTCATTAGACAAGAAAATAAAGCTGGAGCTAAAAGTTCTTCAAGTCAGATGAATCTTCCAGGTGGCTTATACTCGGCATATTATTCATGAAGAAAATATTTTCTCTCACCTTATGGCGTTTTAGTCTATGAAACAATGTTTGCCAAGAGAGAAGATTGGCAAGGATTAGACAGAAGCGAGCTCCTTAAGTACTGCAATGACTGCGGTCACTTTCCAACCCAGAAGCAGATTGACCGCTACTGGGACATGACCAGTGGAGGTGAGTAGTTCCTCATGCCTTTGTTCTTCTTTTCCTTCCATTTCTTTCTGTCTTTTATCATTACTTTTCTTTTCTCTTCTTTCTCTTTTATTTTGTTTTACAAGTTCTTTGTCCTTGAAATTCTTTGCATTTAGCTTAATATATTAAAGGGAGACAGGTTGAAAATATTAGTAACTATTTTTTGGAGGTACTAATGACTTCAAATCTTCTAACTTTTTAAAAAAATTCTGATATAACATAAGTTACAGCTAGTTGAGTATATGACCAACCAGCAGATCTTAAATACTGATGCTAAATATTTTTTCCTAAATAGATTTGGTTCTGATGAACAGTCAAAATTATAAAAATTATATACACATTATCTATTTAAAAAATTGAATTTTATAGTAAGAAAATAATTCATTTTCTGAGCTGCTAGTAAAATAAAAGGCAGTATTGTCTGCACTTTAATAAACCATATAGAGGAACATTTCTCATCCTTAAATCTAATGAGGTGATGGAAATTGTAATTAAGGAATGAGAAATCCCAGTGAATTATCCTTAATGCAGTACCTTATGCTTCTTCTTGATTTTTCCTAATTTCACTTACTAGATTAATTGAAGTGTAATGGACAGAAATATTCAAGGTGTTAATTTGATGCATGCATATATTGTATAATAATTGCCCCAAAATTAATCGACATATCTAACATCATTCATATTTGTCCTCTGTGTGTGTGTGGTGAGGGTTAGGGCATTTAAGTTTCTCTTAGTAAATTTCATATAAATAATACAATGTTATTAACTATTTCACTCCTTTTCCACTTCTCTTATTTTTATTAAATTGTCCTTGGATTACTGTGCTAGATATGTATTATATCTCTATAACTTATTTACTAAATAAGTGGCAATGTGTTCCCCCTCTTGACCAACATCTCTCCATTTCACCCAATGGCTTATCCTGGCATTCTAGTTTCTACATTTATCAATCAAACTTTCTCAGGTTTCACAAGTGAGAGAAATCACAGAATATGTCTTACTGTGTTTGTCTTATTTTGCTTAGCACAGTGTCCTCTGGATTCGTCTGCATTTTTATAAATGGCATGGTTTTTATGGATGTATAATATTCCACTGTCCATATGTGCCATGGTTTTTTTCTATTCACCTATTGATAGAAACATAGACTCATTTCATTTCTTGGCTATCGTGACTAATGTTGGCAGCAAATGCTGAGGTGCAGATAGCTCTTTTGCATATCAATTTCATTTTGTTTGAATAGATATCCAAAATGGTCTAGGGTAGTACTATTTTTAATTTTTTGAGGCACTTCCATACTGTTCCCCACACTGTTTAACCACCAACTCTTCCCAGGCAATGTTAATGGCCTCTCCAATGAGAGGCACTTAATTTCCTGCCAATTCTAACTTGCTACACAGGTGAAACCCTGTGCTAGAGGGAGCCCTTAGGCAGTGAAGTGCAGATGCTGGCATTGCCAAGTTGTTACAGAATGCCCAGGAATATAGGGACAGGAGATACGGATGAGGGAAGCAAAAGCAACTGCTTCCGTTGGGCCTACATTAGTTCTATTTTTAAATTTTTTGAAAAAAAATTAATAATGTTTTGACAAACTATTTTTGCAATCCACAGTCCCATCAGCAGTGTTCAAGGATTTTCTTTCCTCCCTGTCTTCACCAACATTTATCTCTTAATTTGGTAACAGCTGTGACAGTTAAACTGGATTCTCAGAGCAATTGGTTTGGAAGCTGTCCGGGGGATTAGTAAAGCCCACTTCTGGTTGTTTCTGTGAGGTAGGGAGACGTGACTTTGGTTCTGTATCTGGTACCTGGGCCCTCCTGTTCCTGTGCTGTTCTCTTGTTCTGCTTCCCAGACACCATGAGGTAAGCAGGTTTGTTCCACCATCCCATCCTACTATAATGATGCCTTAGAGCTTGTTAACCATGGACTGAAACCTCTAAAACCATGAGGTAAGTAAAATCCTTCTTTAAGTTTGTGAAGCATGTATTTTGCCTAGCAACAGAAACACCTGACTGGTACAGAAACCATAAAAACATGTGTGAGGTGATATATCATTGTGATTTTGATTTGTATTTCTTATATTAATGATATTGCACATTTTTCATATACCTGCTGACTGCTTCCAATTTATTTATTTATTTTTGGTACCGGGGATTGAACTCATAACCTTGTTCTTTCCAGTTTTTAGTTAAGTGGCATTTAATGCTGCTTAACTAAATTCCTGGCCCTGACCACTTCCAATTTACTTTGGGAAAAAAAAATGTTTATTCAGGACCTTTTCTATTTTTAAATTGAATTAGTTGCTAATTATTTATTTGGTCTGTTCAGTATGTTTGGTTTGCTGTAGGGGTTGATTCTAAAAAATCTTGGCCAAGATAATTTTCTGGAAACTTTCCCCTTGTTTTCATGTAGAAGTTTTATGGTTTCAGACCTTTTAAATCTATTCTATTTTGAGTTAATTTCTAATTTTGACATGAGGCAAAGTACAATTTTATTGTTTTGTACAAGAATGTACAATTTTTCCAATTCTGTTTATTGAGGATGTTCTTTCCCTGCTGTATATTCTTGGCATCGTTGTCAAAAGCTAGTTACCTGTGTATGTGTGGGCTTAGCTCTGAGTTCTGTATTCCATTTCATTGGCTTGTTTGCCTGTTTTTAATGCTTGTACTATATTAATTTGAATGCTATGGCCTTAAAACACAGTTTCTGGTTGTTTCTGGTTGTTTTTCTTTCTCAAGATTGATTTAGCTATATGATATTTTTGTAGGTCTTTATAAGTTTTAAGCTTTTGTCTAAAACATCATTGGAATTTTGATAGAGATTATAATGAATTTGTATGTTATTTTGGATAGCATGGATATTTTACTATGAATTCTTCCATGAATGAACATAGCTGTCTACCCATGTATCTATATATTCAATTTCTTCCATTCATGCTTTAAGGTCTTTGTTGTAGGGATCATCACTTCTTTGTTTAAATTGATCCCTAAAAATTTTATTTTTCTTGATGGTGTTATACATGGAATGATTTTCTTAATTTCCTATTCAGATAATTTATCATTAATGTAGAGGAATGCAACTTATTTTTATATATTAGGTTTTCTCTTTGTATAGTCATGCTGCTACAGCTTTCTGCTGTGTTCGGAAATGATGTGTTCATAGTTTAATCGGGAGAAAAATAAATAAACATTTCAAGACCCTTTTTGATATATGAAAAAAGGCTCTCCCAGTAGGAAGATGTATCAATTACATTATGCTACTGGGAAAAATACTTGCCAGACGCAACTTAATGGAGAAAAGTTCAGAGGTTTTAGTCCATGTTTGGTTGGTTTTGAGGCAGAAAAATATAGCAAACAGGCATGTTGGAGCAAAGCTACCTACCTCATGGCATCTAGGAAGAGTAAGGGTCAGAAAGAGCTAGAAAGAGAAGGGACAGAGAAGGATGCATCCCCACGTTTATCTCACTCACACTGACCCACTCATGCACAAGCAGAAGTGTGCTTTCCTTATCTCCTGGGTTTCTCATAAGGCAATCAAGTTGACAGTCAAGATTAACTATAGCAGAAGGTATGAATAAGGTGAATAAAGAATGACATTTCATTATATTTTTAGTTTCATTCCTTTGTCCTTAGTCCACATTTATGTGGACTTTCTTTTGATGCTGTTATATCCATCATACTTAAAACAATTTCTTCAACTTTGGCATTTATTCACTGTGGTTTTGACTAGTTTGACTTTTTAACTGAGAAAAATTCTGCATATAGAAAATGTGGAAAGTATTGTAATACATAAAATATCTAAGAAATAGCAATAATGAACATCTGATACATATTTTTATAATTTTCCTGGCATATGGAATTATTTTTATGAAAACTTTGTATTCTTACATATTGATTGAACATCTGATTCTTTTGCATTTTATTATTCATGTTTCTAAGCTATAAATATATTTTATAACATTATTTATGATTGAGTAATCTTCTATAAGAATGTTCTACATTGTACTTTACTGTTGTATATTAAAGTTGTTATCTTTCTATAACAAGCAATAGCTTAAAAATCAAAGGCAACAAAATAATCAAGTATTTCAGAAATTTATATGCTAGTATTAGTAACTTAAAATATCATGATTTTTTTTCAAGTTAATACAGTAATTTCACAGGAATAATTTCTTCTACTGACTACTTTGGAATATATCACAGTGAGTTAGCTTTTGAGCATGGCTTTGGTATTAGCTTGCCTAGTGACAGTTTATATGTAGACATCCTTCCAAACCTCATGTGCTCATCCTTGGGGCTTTTGAGAAGCAATTGGTCTTGTGGACTCCATACCCATCAGTGGAGTAGTCCATTGATGAGTTAATAGCTAAAGTGACGCTAGGAGGAAAAGCCTGATCAAAGAGGCAGGTCACTGGGTGGGTGAGGCTTGGAAGGATCTATCTGCCTCCCCTACCCCACTCCCTGAACTTCCGGCCACCCTGCCAGGAGCAGCTTTTCCTCTGCCATGTCCCTGTGCAGTGCCATTCTGCCATGGAACCAGCTGTGGATTGAAACTTCTGTGAGTCAAAATAAACTTTGCCTCCCTTAAATTGCAGATGTTGGGTATTTTGTTGCTGAGATGAAGAAAGTGATTAAGAACCTGAAGGACTTCCTTTCTGTATTACTTAAGAGCTGTTTGGGAGCAAGTTGTTTATCCCTCCTATGGCTTGTTCTTCTTGAGTATTTAAGGCTGATAGTGTTTAAATCATTAAAGGTTGTGAGAGTTAAGTGAAACCATTGGTGCAAAATATATAATTTTAAGTGCTTGGTATATGTTTGTTTTTATTATTCATTATAAACTTTATATATTATTATTAGTATTAGTATTTTTGTTATTTTTATTTTTAAAATGTTTAAATATGGAAACTAATTGTATATTGACTCACTTTTATAGAGATACACATTAAAATGTCATCGTTTTCCACCCATATAGTAATCTGCATAATG